ATGAAAAAGCCTAACCAGTTTGCTGGAGGAAATTTACACATGGAGGGAGAGTCTGCTCATCTTTGAGCCTGCGGAGATTTTAGATGAGATCTACAACATTCTTCCAACTGGAGATTCTTAGCATCAGAACAAGAACTCTGTGTGTTAGTAGACAGGTCTTGCTCCCAGAGTTGCTTTTAGGTTGATGGACTGCTACCTAAGAAAGCTTTCAGATGTCCCGAGCTCTGACCATACCCAATCTACCCCACTCTAGATGGTCACTGTACTGATGAGAACAATGCTTTGGGACACTGGAAAATGGCTCACTAGGAAAGTATTTTAAGGAGAATATACAGATAAAGTCATTCTGCTGTTTCATCAGTCTTCTGGTGTTCTTTCAGGAAGATTTTTGAGGATTTTCCAACTGGGATACATCTGGGACACCCAGCCCAGGCTCCCACATCCTGGCTGGAGATTGCTGATTTACCTTTCCACCTCCTGCCTCTGACAACAGGAATGGACCAGCTGGTCTGAGCCCTCCCAGGCACTCGCAGTAGGTTTGGGAAAGAGCCCTCTGTGTTCTTCTCACCAGTCAAGCGTGTGAAAGAGGGTTTGAAAAGGTCCAGAGAATCACTGGGCCCAGAAAACTTCCCAGTCAATCCATCCATCGCCTCTCTGCCAATCTGTCCACAGTTCCAGGGGCAGGTGGGGAGAGGGATGTGAGGCGAATAGAAACAGGAGTACTGTGTGCCTGTGTGCGTGTGTGTGTGTGTGTGTGTGTGTGTGTGTGTGTGTCCAAGCACAGAGACAGGACTAGCAATAGAAGAGCAGGCAAGAGGGCGTGGGAGACTGGGAACTCATTTATAAAAGCTCTTCTGCCCTAAAGCAAGTCAAACTCCCTGCTGAGGAGTTGCTTTTTCTTCCTCCCCTTTGAGTCTTCCGTGCTGAACTGACCTCTCCCCCGGCAGAGGTCAGCGCCCCGCTTGCCCTGCACACACTCAGCCTTCTGGGGCTTGCTTGACTTCGAGCCTGAGCCTGTGCAGGAGAGCAGTCCTCAGCTCTGCCTTCTGACAGAAAAGCTGTGGAAAACGCCATGAAGAAGCTGGTCTTTTTCTTTTTTAAAAAGGAAATACATATGTACATTATGTTTTTTAAAAAAATCTTCTGGGAACCGTGCAGAAAACAAAAAGCAAGCCTAAGAATTGTACATCATCACAGAGCCCTGTCCCACTGCCTACTTCACTCCCTAAATAAATCAGGCAGGATAATGAATGAGGTTTTAGGAAATGTAACTGAACTTAAAATACAAGGTCAGTATCTCATCCTAGGTAATCCTTTGGAGGATGAGAAATTCTCCTGATTTTCCCACAGGGTTATTTCAGATGCGCTTCCTGAGCCAAACTATTTTAAAAGCGTTCATTCTTCCACTGTTCTGCCAAATGCTAACTTGAGATTCACACGCACTTTCAGAGAGCCTATTAATGATATTAACGATCATGGATCAAAGGCAAACTCTAGAGGTTTATGTAAGAATTTCAGACAATTATTTAGGTGCTTTAAAAACTCTTACAAAGGAGGGTAACAATTTCCCAATGCTGGCAAAGGCTAAGTGTTGTGTTCGCTTGTGCAGGGTCCAAAGTGGCAGAACACATGCAAGAGGCCTTAGCAGAAAACAAAACACATCTCTTTCTGTGCCTTAAAAACCTCTGACTGCTGACTATACCTTGGCCCTAAGCTTTTCCTACTCATTTGAAAGTAGGCACATTTTGGATTTGCAGGAAACCAACTTCCTAAGTCTTCACTCACCCTCTTTTAGCATCTAGTATACACACACACACACACACACACACACACACACACACGCGAACACACAAACACTACATTTTTAAGCTTTTTAACTGTGGCATCACATGAAAATTATTGATGAGAATTACAACAATGCTTAGGCTGAACCTTAGGGATTCTGAACAGACAAGCACCTACCTAGGTGACTCTGGTGCGTGACCAGTGTAGAGAACCATTTCTATATACATGGAGAAATGAATACATTGCAGTGGTATGTTTACCTGAGTACTTAGAGGTATGGGTGGCATTTAAAATATTAATTTTACTTGACATATGAAGAGACTGAGGCCTGTAAGGTTAAGCCTCCCAGTTAGTAGAAATACAGCCACTTGGACCCATTTTCCAGCTTGCAGCATCCTGCTGCTTTCCTGGGCTGCTGTCCCCAGCCCAGGCCCCCTGCCCACGGCAGGGCCACATGATGTGCCTCCATGACCAGGAACATGAAGAAGGTCGGGTTATGCTTTACCACTTGTAGTCACTCTCTGCACTTCACACATAACTCTTGAGATATATGCCGAAATACTTCTGGACTGTCATGTACAGGTCGCAGGGTGAGTTTAATTATTAGTTATCACAGAGGGGTTGGGTACAAAATAAAAGGTAATGTGGAAAAGGAGCTGCCCCAGGACCTCATCAGTCCTGAGCAAGGCTTAGACGCAGCACACAGAAAATGGAAGCAAACTCACATGGGGAACATTGAGATTCTCTGGAAAGAGGTTGAGGTAAGGTATTTTAATCCCTCAGGAGAGGTTTATCTTAGCTCACAGTTGGGAGCACAAATGGAAACGAATGCACAATGTACTGAACACGGGTGCTCTCCTATAATCTTGTTTTGAAATTTTATACTATTGTATTTATTATTTTTGTTTTTAAAATGATAAAAGTATAATTTAAGTGAAAGTAAAACAAACATGTACCCCAAAACTTTTAGGGGGCAATTTAATTCCAATGTTTTACTTTGGGTTATGTATATCAAAGTCTTTTTTTTTTTTTTTTACAGAACTGGGGATTGAACTCAGGCCCTTGCACTTGCCAGGAAAGCACTTATGCTACTGAGCCATCTCCCTGGCCCTGTATACTGAAATCTTGAGGGGCAATGAATGGTTCCACTGGCCCCATGGTTATCTTAACACAGTATTCAAAATCTACCAATTGCTTCTGGGAATGTTTCTTACAATTGCAACACTTTAAAATAACATGTTTAGAAAAGGGCATTTTGCACATGTGTTCCTTGGGGCTTTTACTTTTTGAAGAACAAAAGTGACACTATCTTTTAAAACATTTTTTCCTACCCATTTGATTTGAAACTGTCTCATTGCTATTTGTCTGTCAATAAAATTATGGAAAAAAATAAAAGAATGAAAAAAAAAAAGAAAAAAAATTAAAACATTTTTCTGGGCCTGGGGAGATAGCTCAGTAGAATAAGCACTTGCCTGGCAAGTGCAGGGTCCTGAGTTCAATCCCTGGTACCGCAAAACAAAACAACAAAAGAATTTTTTTCCTTCATAAAAGAGATATACAGAACCAGGGATTGAGTTCAGGCCCTTGTATTTGCCAGGGAAGTGCTTATTCCACTGAGTGATCTCCCCAGCCCCTAAGAGGTATACTTTCATTACATAATATCACCATGCTGACATGTACAACTATTTAAAAAGTTTGCAATACAGCAAATAAGACAATAAAGTCAACAGGAAGAAAGAGGTCTCCTGGTGCTTACGGCAGTGTGTGGCTTCCAACTCAAATGAAGAAAGTTATTCTAGGGGGGTCATTCTGTCAAATTCATACCTGCATGTACCTAATCAGAGGTTTCTGGGCTCAAGGAATTATTTTAGGATTTTTGCTTAAGTAAATTAGGAGTCAAAATTTGTGATACGCTCTTATAATGGCAATTATAAGGTAATGTGGTCTATGGTAATAATTACACTGCAAAATGAAACCTATTTGAATATGTTCAAATTCAAATTCCATAGAGAGTAATTCTAGGTCATTAAAGGTAAACTCACTCTGGTTCCTTCCCTTATGGGGTATATTGACATATTCATTTCCTGTCTTGTTAAATAAATATAGAAACCAAATTAAAGGGAGTTTTGCAGATTTCTGAGAATTTATTCATATCCTAAAACTGCTGTACTAATTACCTGAATTAACTGCATTTTACAATGCTTAATTTATTTTGTACTAAGGAAGGCTTTAAACTGTTAAAAGGGAACCAGCTTAATTTTGAGTTTTTAAAACTTGCTTCAACATGTTTTAATTCAGTAGTGTTTCAATACCAAGGAATGAACTCTCTTGTCCTGACAAACCATGCATGGAAATTTCCTCATAAGAAAAAAAGAAGAAATGAAGATGATTTCCATATTCGAGTCACAGCATGCTGAACAGAACATTTTGGGCTCATAGGAAGGCCGTTGGTTATCTCCCAGGAGGGCCATTCACTCACCTCGCGGAATTGTTACTGTAGGGCCTGCTGAGGAGCCTAGGAACCCTGACACCACCATGCTGAATCCAGGCCATTCTCTTGGGCACACATCTCTTTCCTTACATGTGTCCACCCTCACCCTCATCAAAGGCTACAGACATATACAATAATCCATGCCAAAATCTAAACATGATACCAACAAGAAAACAATTATAATGTGGTCCCTTTCTTGTCCTGTGATGCACTCTGAGATATTTCAGAGGTGAGCTATATTCTCCATAAATCAAAGAGGATCTGAGTATGTGCATGGAGGGGCGGGGGATAAAGTCCATGGCCATGTGCACCACAGCACTCACTTTACCACCGAACAATACCCCCAGCCCACAAGTCTCGCTTATTTGTGTGTGTGTGTGGCCAGCTCAGCCCACCAGGGAGCGGGGCTGGCTGGCATGTGGTGCTGGGGGATTGAACCTCGGTCCCTGTGCTTTGCTAAGCTTGTTCTAAGTAGGTGCTTTAGACCACTGAGCCATCTCACCAGCCCCAAGTCTCGCTTTTTAAAAAGTGACATTTGTCTTCCATAATCTTTAGTACTAAAATAAGGGAACAACAACAAAGCCACGACAAAGCTTATTCTCTTCTCCATGTTTGCTTCCTTGCATTTAAAAAATCATGTGTACCTAGCTGACAGTTAAACACCAGTGGCACAGAAAAGAATATGTAAGGAAAATCAGATAAAAATCATCATTTTTTTGTTTGTGGACGTTTATTAAAATAAAACTAATATCTATAATAACCTAATATCTCTACCTATTAGAATGTCATTTGAAAACACACAGCAGTGGCTTAGGAACAAAGACATTGAGCAAATTAAAAAGAAGAGTTCAAAATTATTACATTAACTGGATCAGATCAACATTTCCTCCAAGCCTGACAGTCACAAGCAACTAAATAAAAATTTAATTTGGAGTATTAAGTGGTTGTAGAATTTTTTTTTTTTTTTTTTTTTTTTACTACAAATATTGACAAGGTCTCATGCTTTCAGGCCAAATTACTATTACTAACAATATCAAAATACATGCCAGCAGAGAAACCTTCATATCCCACCTAGTACGTAAAAAATCCTGGCATCCATTTTCCTTTTGTACCCCCAAATATCCAAAGAATCACACAATCACTCTCACTCCAGTAAAAATAGATCCAGGGATGGTGTTTCAGACATGTGGAAGGAAAGTGCTTAAAGACAAAATTCCTTCAACATATGCCATAGTGTGGGAGCTGAAAGCCATCTCTCTCGCCTTCATTAACCCGGTTAAAAAGCATTGCTCATCAAGGCTGTGAGAACGACCATATCTATCCACAACCCAAGCATGTCCATTTTCCCCCTTATAGCACAGGGATTGTTATTTTCCTGAATACAACAAACTCTAGATCTAAGACTTTTCTTGAAAGAAAATCAGAATACATTCACACATATTGGATTTAAGCATCAAGACTAGGTTAGCTAATAAAATAAAACCTTCTCAATAAAACCTCTACTGATTTCACTTTCAGTATCTCTAGTTCTAGAGCAGGCAATAGCTTCTGGCAGGGTCACTGTTTTTATTTTATGCTCTTCCAGAAAGCAGTTTCTTATTTACCAATGGAATTTTTTTGTGCCCTCCCTATTTATAAACTGATCTAATAATTCTGTTTAATGATTCAATGAAAAACACTGTAAAGAGTGTATCCAGAATACAGATCATTCTAACAGAGAGGGCCTGTGATGGGCCACAGTCATCAATATTCTACCACTTCTCCATAAGTTTCCATTCTGAACAGTCTACCTCTATTGTATAAAGAGAATCAGTTCTGTTGAGGTAGCATTCTGTTGGGCTCACTCTGCCTATACAGTTCTTTGACTGGAGTCAGCTGGGAGTGGGAAAAAAAGCTAAAAAGGAAAATGAAAAGGATCCCAGGGACAGGATGATGGTATGGTTCTAGAGGAGGTAGCAAGGCTGGAAGAGCAGGAAAAGGACAAGTTTCTAGGCAGGGCACAGGGTTGGATTCTCAAAGCCATGGACACACAATGCCAGGCTTCATGACCACAGCTGAACCTCATGACATGAAACAGTGCTGTGGAATAAGGTGGGCTACTGATGGACCTCATCTTATACAACACATTCAGAGAAAGGCGATATGAGGAAGGGCATAGTGAGGGGACAGAAACCACTCATGCATCTTGAGCATGAACCTATTCTGTGCCAAGAATACAAAATAAAAGAATTTCTGTATTATTTTATTTTATTGGTATTTTTTTCTGTTAATTTAAACATGGGGGGGACTACCCCTGATTTTCCTTTTGCTTAGGGGAAATGCTATTTTAAAGGATCGTCTAATGGTAAGCAGAAAAAAAGATACATTAGATGGGTAGCCTTTGAATACGGTTTCTTACTTTAGAATGAAATTGAGTGAATGCTGTATCTTTTAAAAATTAATAACTGAAGCCCAGTGAGAAGTGGCCTAACCTAGTCCTCAGATTCTGCTCCATCTACATCCTGACTGAAAGTAACAAAGTTGATATGTCTCACTGTGAGATATGGCCCCAAGAAGGCAATCATGAAGATTTTTCTTCTCATGGTACTTGCTGGTAATGTATTTCAAATACCTTTCAGAGAATCATCTCTCAGAAACAACTGTGATTTATTTTTGAAATGTCCAATGTGAACAATATTGTGCTGAGTTTCTGTTTTTCACTGACTCTAACCTCCTGAAAAAACTTCAAAATATCCAGAAGCCAAATAGGGTCCAAATCAGTCTTCCAGGCAGATCCCTTAGGCTCCTTGTCTTTTTGTGGCACCATCATAAGAGCAGGCTATGCAGGCACAGGGAATTTAAACTGCCTGTGAAGTATTCTATATGGGAAAATACAAATCCTGGCCACTGAACCCATTGGGCTCTGGTCTGTCCTGAACCCATCCCAAATGCTGGAGAAGCAAGGGCATGGACAGAGGCATGTCTGAGCTGCAAGCAAGAGCAAGCCTCTCCCATGTCCTCCCATAATGCCAGGATGAATTACCCACAAACTTCCAGCAATTAGAAGTTAACAGCTCCCTAGGTGCTTTGGCTGTGCTACTTAGAACCTGGGAACAGACTGACTCATTCACCGAGCCCAGGTATTTTACGAGTTTGAGGGAATCTGAGGGTGTACATGTCCACACGTTGCCCCAGCTGATGAGTTGGAGGCCATGGTAGCCAGGATGGATGAATTAACACTAGGGAGTCTCCCATTAGTCCAGTGGTTCTCAGATTTGAGCATATTTCAGAGTCATTCAGTTTGTCATTCAGCAGGGACCCAATACCCACATTTTTAATTTATTGCCATGATGTTGGTACTGGGACATGTTGGGAACTACAAGTTTATTCTTTCACTAGGCAGAAAATCAACTGTCCCCACCATAGCACTGCAGCACCATGGCACTGTCCTTATGGCCCTGTCCTGAAGTCTGTATAGCAATGAGTCAAAAACGTGATTTGTTCTCCACGCAGTCCTTGCACAAATGACATCCTCTTTGTCATTAAAATAATTTTTGAAGACAGTAATTAAATAAGAAAACAGTAATATTAGAATAACCATATAGTCTTCTGGAGGAGACTGCTTAAATGTTAACCTTAATTCAATATATACTTTTTATTCATGATGATCATTTTAATTAACTCTTTCTGCAGCTCAGCATCTATACACATGGATCTCTTGTCACAGATCTGGACACTATATCTTGAATTACAACTCTAAAGTCCTTTGCAATTTCTTTCTTCTTGTGGTTCGGTTGCCCTGAGTTGTAGATAATTGCCTTGACTCTGTGGCTAAGCTGCTTTGCTGAGCCTGAGCTAGTTTATTTTTTGTAAGATGTCTGGAGGAGAGATTTTCCAAAACATGCAGCCCTTCCTTGTACGTAGGTTTTGCCAAATCTTGTTTCAAGAGTAACCCCGGATCTGACAGCTCTAACATTGGCAAAACACTGACAGCTGTGCATTTTTCCACTATTATTTCTCCCGAGACTAATTGATCACTTCCAAGAGAAACTCTCTTGTGGTGGTCGGAGTCTTCTGTAGAGCCACAGTTCCTGCGTTTCTGTTGTGTTTTTTCTGCCCGTGGACTTTGCTTTGGATCTGGTGATGCTGACTCACAGCTATAGACAGGGCTCCTGCTTAGAAGTCTTGTCTTCAACCGCTCCCCAGGATGAGGTTTTTGCTGGCTGCTAGTGTCCTCTGGTTGAGTCTGATTAACATTTTCCAGCTTTTGAACAGGAAGCCTCCAGTGGCTCTCCACTGCCTTTATGTAATCCTCTCCTGGTCCCATGGCTGCTGACGGGGGACTGGATGAGGCCTGACCATCGTCACTCCTCCTTGCTACCACTGCAATCTCTGAGTCACTGGTTGTTCCCACAGTGGCCTTGTGGCTCTGCGATTTGCTTGAGACGCTTTTTGTTTCAGTTCTTTTCACACTAAAAAGAACAAGCAAAGATTTTATGCTGCATAAAAATGGCATGGTTCCCTCCAGTCCCCCCTACTGCGTTTTCTATGCCCGACCAGGAGGCATGGTCTCCCTGCCTTCTCATCTCCCCAGCGTATCTAGAAAACTCTTACATGCAGCTTAAACATAGACTAAATTAAAGAATAACTTCTACATAATCCCTTACACTAGGACATGTTTTTCTTTCAATCATTGGGGACATCAACAGAGTTGTGATGGGGTTCACACCTTAGGACAAACAAGCACTCCTTTCAGACATTAGCGGCCAATGTTACTGACGCTTGCACATGTTTTTTCCTATGTGTACATGCTCAGATATACCCAAAGCTCAGGTCATCTATACATGAGTCTGTGTCTGTTTATACCTGAGCAAAGAATTATCTTCTGGAGTTTCTCTCAGGCTATTTCAAGGCATTTTTCAAATATAACCACCCTTTACCAGGTGTTGTGGTTGTTCATAACCACAAAGGAGTTGGACTCAAGTTAATAGAGCTTGAAGTGCACTGCCAAAAATTTCAGACAGTCAGCAGGAAAAGAAAGCACAATCATGGCAAACAAGGCAATGCCTATATGTCGCTCTATCTATCTATCTATCTATCTATCTATCTATCTATCTATCTATCCATCCATCCATCCATCCATCCATCCATCCATTCATCTACTTATTCATGTACTGTATCTATCTTGACCCCTTTTCTACAGATACACAACGGTCAAGGAAAATTTCACTCTTATTATAAAATAACTGAATGGGGAAAATAACCTTACCTTCAGCAAGAAGTTAATGGCCAGAAATTTGGGAATGGGGAGAAACTTCCTTAGCCACCAAACCCAGAACATTGAAACGGAAGTATTTATTCAGTACAGAAACTGTTACTATCAGAAGCACAAGGATTATCATAATTACATTAAAGTAGGAATGAACACCTTAGAAGTGTTTTCTAGAGCTGTCTCGAGTCACTCTGAAAGTTGTATGAACGACATCAGCAGCAGGTGCTTTTTATCTTCAAAGTGCCTGTAATTAATTACACCTTGCAACATACCGATGAAGCAAGGACTCCATCCCCACTGTCTAGAGTAGGAGAAATAGTTAGAGGGTGGGAGGGGCAAGTTTGTGAGCAAGCGCAGGGTCAGCACCAGTGAGACTTTCGTGATTTGGTTGCACATGCTCATGTCCAATTCTAGACTCCATCCATTCATATGAGCAGTAAAAAGTCAGAAAGAGTAAACACACAGGACCTACATTTCTTTCAGAGCGTTTCTCTTGAGCTTTGCACCGGGAGGAAGTGGACTCTCTGCACACTCAGCAAAATAATCAGACACTCCATGGAGAGCTCTTTCTGTCTACTCCAAAAGATAACAAAGGTTCAACCAGAAATCTATTAGCTGAACATGAGAGAAAACAGTTATACTTTGAATGCTCACAGATTTATTTTTGTAAAAACTAAACGAAATTGCTTAGGGTTACAGGCTATTTTAACTTTATTATCTAGAACTATCAAGTACATTACAACTTCTTTCTGACTGCTAGGTCACATATTTCATACATTAATGTGCACCATGACCACACAAGACTGTAATGTAAGCAATATCCAAGGCCAGTAGCTGACATCTCTGTGACAAAGGTCCAGAGACACTGAGTAGCATGCAGCATGTCTATGAGGACTTGGTGGCACAGTGGATAGCACACTTTGATTATCCAAAGCATTTTTTGTATTATTCTACTTATAAAAACAAAAACATGGCCATTTGTACCCCTTGTGACAATATTAAGAGTTAAACCTTTTCATACAGATATCTTCAAAATAGGTGTTTGTCATTCTTGCTACTGAAACATTGTTTTGTTCCTTTCTTATACTAATTACTACTGTGGTAATTCATAAATTATCTGCTTATCTACAATTTACATGCCAATAGAAGTATCATAAGGTTGTAATTATAAAATGTACAAGTCTCCTAATCTTTGCCAACACTGACATATACATGCTTTTGGAATCTTTTCCTTATGTTTAGCAAACAGACAATCCGGACAAAGTGTTATTTTCTCTAGTTTTCTAAGACACTAAGTATTCTTCCCCATCCAATTATAGTAAATCCCTAACTTAGGAAGATTTTAGTTGCGAACTTTATCAGGTGTACTGTACAAGACTCACTTTGTCGACTTATGAACAAATCCAAACAAATAGAACTCATTTGTAAGTTGGGGGCTTACTGTATAATAAAATGTTTTTGCCACAAGGAGCAGTACTGGGAAGTAGTCAGCAGATCCCTGCTTTACTCAGGCTTCCATGGGAATCAACAGTGGCAGCTCCAGAGACCCTGCTAAGAAGCAGCCCTCAGTATTACGCCTGACTCTCCCTTACTTAGACAGAATAGCCCCACCCCCCAACACGGTCCACACCACTGAGATATGAGGAGCCATCAGCATTAACAGTGCCCATGGCTTCAGGCCCACCCAGGGGTATCATTCAGTATCCAATTATAACACAAGTTAGACTACAGTATTATGGGCTTTATTGGATTCCACTGCATTCTGATACATTTCCCTTTTGGCTTCTTTTTTTTTTTAATTTTTATTTATTCATTTATTTATTTTGTGTGTGTGTGGCCAGCTTAGCCCACCAGGGGGCGGGGATGGCTGGCATGCGGTGCTGGGGGATTGAACCGCGGTCCCTGTGCTTTGCCTAGGTTAGCTTGTTCTAAGTAGGTGCTTTAGACCACTGAGCCATCTCACCAGCCCCCCTTTTGGCTTCTTGTTTCTTATAAATTTACTCACTGATCAA